CAGAGCCTCATCACAGGCACAGAATGCTTCTGGGTTTGCAGGGAATGCTGGGATAATTTAAATGTTCACACATTTCTCCTCCATCTTATATGACATACAGAATTTGCTAACAATTCCTTTCCAAAATCTTAAAGTATCTTACTGAAAGTTACCTTCTCCTATGGACTTCATAAATATGAAAGTTTGCCAATCTGCTTTAAATGTTACCTAAGTATTACTGAGGCAAAAGAAAAATAAAATAATTTAAATGTGTTAACTATTTTCAGTTCTTGTCCATGGCTTCTAGAGTCATTTTCAAATTTTAAGTGATGATAAATTATAGATTCTACCAGAATTGGGGAGCATTGTATGCAGACTTCTCTGTTAGCTTTCAACAGTTTTCCAAGAGATGCATTTGTAAGGACAAGCAGGAGAAATCTGAGTGAACTTTAGCAAATGTATTTCAAAATCAAGTGGCAAATTTAATTGTAGATGACTTCTTTTTCCTCATAGTATTCCTAATTTGTTTTAAACAAGTTCACTCTTCTAATTTTTAGTTAATCAGTTGGATCTATCCATTCGGATATGTAAGTCTGTGCATGCCTGTGCAACATGTGTAAATCAGCAGATACATAACATTATACCAAATTGTGTGTCCTTAATTTGACTGCAAACTGCAGTGACCTTCCTTAAAATGTCTTTAATCTCATTGTGTCTAGTTTTTTTAAACTAGCAGCTATAATATATAAATTTTGTATTTTTATTTTGTAAACTCATTTTAGATATTAATCTAGGTAAAATCTTTTGAAGAATCATTTTCAAGCAAAAAACAAGACTGAAAATGGTTACACTGTTTGCTTTATCCCTTAGAGTTAAAGGCTCCTTTTATTTTATTATACCAGCTTTCAATTTTAAGTTATTATATGATATTCCAGTCAATGGTGATGTTTTGGAGTCATGGATGTTAGGCTTCAGTGTTTTCTTAGACAGTTCTCAAACATCAGCATTTTTATCTCAGTTTATACAGGAACACTAACCACAACTTCTGAGTGTGAATGATTTTAGGTTTCTAATAGTGACAAACCAGTTCCAGAAAGCAAAAGGGAGGTAAAAGTACATGTGACTTCAGGAAATCCCTCCAGTAACAAATCCTATTCTTCAACAGCGACAACCAAGCCACTGAAGACCTTCTTTAAGATGAACCAAGCAAATGTTTAGTTGTTCAGACATCCCTGATAAACTTTCATATCAAGAAATCTCACTCAGCATCAGACTTTTCTGCTCCACATTTCCCGGTTGCCAGAGATGTAAAGCTGTCATTCTGCCTTGATAGACCTAGGAGCTTCCTTTTTATGTAGGAGAAAGAATTCATACAGGCTCCCTGAACATTGTGATCTAGCACATGCCATTAATAGTGAAAAGCAAGGCAGTGTAATAATTAGGTATGCTGTTTTGTGTGTTTTTGATGGAATATGTATGTTGGCCAGTCTAGTTGCCATTTAAATCCAACCCTAAAATTCTGAAATGAAAAGGACAATCATGCCTTGTGTGTCTGAGTTATTTGTTGGAGAGGCTCCACAGTCTTTAGATTGATTGCAGGCAGAAACAGCATCATTAACTATAAACTGTCCAGAGGAAACAAGCTTGTTTTTGATATGGACTCATGAGTAGCAGAAGGTGAAGGTTTTCTTAGTTCTTAAAAATTATTTTACACTTAAAAAATGCTTCAACTATCAATGATGGTATCAACCTATAATCAAAGAACTCTATATGTACCTAAAACAATTAGGCAAGCCTTGGGATTTCTTAAAGAATTTTCCAAGATATGCCATATTTTAACTACCATTTCAGTCCTAATCAATCTAGAGCTGTATGCTCAGAACTGATGTTCATGTAATTCTCATAAGATTTTTGAGGAGGTGTCTATCAGATGGCTCAGCAGCTAAGAATACATAAAGTTCTTGAAGGGGACTCAAGTTCAAGACCAAAGTATAAGTTCCAGCACCCATATCAGGCAATTCACAGCCACTTATACAGCTCCAGAGCATACAACCCTCTGTTCTAAATTTCACTGGTACCTTCACTCATGACCCACACAGAGACACACATGAATACATTCTTTAAAATGCAACGAAAAAGATTTAGTAGGGTTACAGGTACATGAATCACACCCAGCTTTACCTAGGTACCATGGATCTGAATCAGGACCTCACACTTGTATATCAAGTGCACTTGTCCCCTGAGCAGAGGATTTTCTTAAATAGTTTTAAGTTTTCTTTTATTTGTCAAGAAAATACCTTGTACATATGAATTCACAGCAACTGTAACTGTATGCAAAAGAACTATAAATAAAATCTACCAAATCCTAGCATCCCATTCTTACCTAAGGAGCTATTGGCAGCTGATGGTGGCTGCAGAAGAGTCAGTTTTCTTCAGGAATCTGGTTCCCTAGAGACTACTCATGACTTAGCAGATGGTTCTACAACCTGTGCACATACATATAGAACTAAGTCAACTCAGTGGCTTAAAAATAGAGTCCGTGAGGTTAGGAGCAAAAATGGTTTGGGGGACAAGAGGAGAATTAGAAGAGGAAATAGAGGCTGTCTTTGACCAAAACACATTATATGTATGTATGAAATTAATTTCATACAAAATGTATTTTTTCTACAACCATTTTGAATTATATCTATCATTACAATAAAAATGTTAAACAAAGTTAAACTTCAGTCAACATAAATGCTGAGTTTAGAGGAGAAAAATGTGAGAAATGGTGCATTGTTCGCTAGGTAATCACAAAGCCAATGTGCTTCCAACACGTGTTCCATAGAGCATAAACTGAACACGAGGTCATAGAATAGATGGCGAGAAAGGACCAAAGCCTGAATTTAAAAACAGACAGTTTTACTCTTGGAGAAGCGTAGTGCCTGTGAAGCACCTCAGAAACAAATTAGGGATCCTGAGATAATGGAATCATTAAAGTTTGGTGCTGCTCAGACTTGCTTGATCTTAGAATCGTCTTTTTAGAAAAAAAAATTAGAAAATGAATTTTTAAGCATTTATTTCTGCTTTTGTTTCTGCCAGTAAAAGATGGGAGGTTGTTGCATCTTAGCTATCTTGCTTTCAGATAGAAATGTATATTTATGTACATAGTTAAATAATAGTTACCCAAGGGTCTTGTCATTTGGGGCACAGTGCTTGCTAGACAAAAGTACGTCTTTCTTATTATGCATTCTTTAAAAGCTAATATTAATGCCCTGATGACTTAATTATCAAATTAGTAAAACTAGCAGTTTTATCAAGTGTAACTCCTTTATACATCCCAGACAAGCTATTTGTCAGAGCACGAATGTGTTGTTATTGTCTTCAAGAAAGAGAGGCAAATACATCCTTTTTCTTGTATCTAATGTTCTTTTCCACTTTTCTAAAACTGAAATGTATGTGTTGTGTGTGTATGCTTATTATGATGGTTTTTCTAACTAGAAAGGCTGTTTCATGTCAACATATATATCTATGCTCAGCTGTACCTTAGAACCAAAGAAATGCCCTGTTTTGATACTTTCTTCTCTGGTAAATTTCAGGTGAGACAGATGTGAAGTTCTTGAGCTTGTGGGAAGCAGGCATACACCCAGCCTGTCTTTAGGAAAAGGCTAGTTAAAAAGTAGGAAGCTACTTAAAGATCTTAGACAATATTTTCACTTCTTACCAGTTCACATTTAGGAAAGAACCATTTTGATTGACTTGATCAAATCCTTTGGCTGAGCCATACAGAGGACAGCAGCTGGCTGCTTGGCTCAGTCCTGACCAGGGACACCGCCAGTGCTTGTCCTAACAGAGCAAAAAAACCCGACATGATTTCCCTGCAGGAAAGGGATATAAATACTATAAACATTCTAACATTTTTAGGAAAGCAAAAAAAAAAAAAAAAAAAAAGTATTTTCCTGTTCAATCAAAGGGACAAACCAAAGAAATACTTAACAGATTTCTTAGTTCTTATGTGAGACCAGAGAGAGGGAACGAGATAAAAAGAAACAGGTCAAACTGCAGGTGTTAGAGGCAGCAGCCCAGACCTTCTCTTACTTACAATCCATATATAGTGTGTCCAACATTCTACCAGCGAGCCAAGGAAGCAGCGGGAACAATAAAACTACCAGCAAAGTTATATCAATTATGAAATTTTAAAATGTGCTCACATTTCATAAGCTCAGCAGTTTCTGAAACATGTGTATTACACTTTGATATACCAAACAAACTTTAACAACTTAATCAATGGGTATACTTTTGCCATTTTTTTCTCTCTGAAATTTTATCCTGCAACTCTTGAGATATCGGGCTCCCATACAGACACATGTATTGATAGTTCTCTCTCATTCTTTTATGAGTGATGAACATATAGTACCACTACTGTGGGCCTCTGTGCCCCAGAGATGACTGTAACCTTCTATTGATCAGCTGATTGAAGATGAATGGCTCAGCTGCTTGTATTGCAGATTACATCATTAACATGGTCAGTAAACCATGAATTGTTCAATAAGGCGTTTATCTTTTTTCATTTTACTTCTGCTCTTTTATCATTTTTATTAGAAAAGCCAAAATTACCCACACTAACCAGGAAGATTTCTTGAAAAGAGATCCAGTAGGGTACCATTATGACTTCAAAGTTACAGACAGTTAAATTCTAATGACTTAATGGTATTTAGTGTGTGGTTTCATCAGTTTTCTTCCAGTTTGTATTACTTTATTATATTTGTGTGTAAGCACGCACATCATATGGTGTGTGTGTGGGTGTGTGTGGGTGGGTGTGTGTGTGTGTGTGTGTGTGCATGTGTCTGTATGTCTGTGTAGGTCAGATGATAACCTCAGTGGTTAGTTCTCTCCTTCTGCCATGTGGATTCTGGGACTGGAATTCAGGCTTCATGGCAGGTGCCTTTACCTTCTGAGCCATCTTATCAGCCCTTATATATGTTTTTTAACTGAAGAAAATACAAAGTTTTGACAATATTTTGTTTGTTTTTCTCTTACAGCTTCCTTTTGCCTCATATTTACTAGAAGCAATACTGGAGAAAATAAATGAAAACAAGAAACTAACTGAAGGATATTTCACAATTATGAAAGACATTAGATAATATAGATAGAGATAGCTAAGGATACATACACATACACACACATACACACACACACACATTTCAAACAAGAGGATTTCATGTGCTCTGGTTGTAAATACTCCAGTACAGTATCTGCTCAAGCTATCAATGGGTGACTTCAATACCAAAATAAGACATTTCTGAAATTAATTGATTCTGAACAAGTAAAGCTAGCTAAGCACACATCCACTTAAAAGGAGAGTCTATCATTTGATTGTTGGATACAAATATTTTCACAAATACAAACTTAAAAATTATTTTCCTTCCAGTACAAAGAAAGAATCTAGAATAAGCTTGTCACATACAGGTTGGTCTAAGTATAAAAAGAAAAATGTATAGATAAAGGACTTAATATTCTAAATTTTACATAAAACTAGACTTTTACATAAAACTGTTATAAATGTCCCTTTGTAATCCGGTGAGTAACATATTTGTGTGGTGAGAAAATATAAGTTATCCTAACATGAAGGAGTGAGCATTGAATGAAGCTATTGTGTGGTTCATTGTGCCTATTTTTGTTGATATACTGGATTTTATAGGAGGTACTGTGTTTTTCTAGAACTATCTGGCAAAATAAAAAACATTTTCTCCTTTCTCGCCTTGTGCAGTCATATAAATCAGCAAGGGCCAGAGCACTGGTGTCTAATGTTGGTGTAGACCTAGCAAAGCATGGTCATGTAATCATCAATGCCTTCTCACCACGATGGACCATTGTATTTGGTTCCTGAGTGCCTCCCTCCCTGCACTTCTTCAAGGTGTTCTTGCCACATCCTCTTGGTGCCTCTGAGTCACTGAATTTGAACCTCCACAGTTGATGTAGGTGTCCTGTCTTTGCCTATCCCTATCTTCTCATTATTCAAGTTCACTTTATCTCCTTGCTCATAGACATATTCTCTGAATATCTTACTGTTTATATGAAATCATCTGTTTTTAATATGGTCACATCTTTGTTTTATGGCTTATTCTCATTTTCTCCTTAGAATGTAGATCCCATGAGATTAAGGCAGGGACTATCAAATTAAAGAAAGCCCTTAGCCAAATACAGCCTGCCACCTACTTTTGTATGGTCCACAGCCAGCCATTTTTTTTTTTTTACTTTATTAAACTGTTTTAAAAGCAATACTTTGTAGTAAAATCATATGGGATTCAATTTCAATGTCTTATAATAAAGATTTATTGAAATTTCGCGATGCTCATTCCTTTGTACACCACTTGGAATAGTTTTTAAACAATGGTAGCAGAGCTGGTGACTGGCAGAGGCTGAATGTAGTACTCTCCTCCTGACTTAGCACTACTGCTCAGCATGCTACAGCATAGTGACACAGTTTAACTTGAAAACAGTACTATTAAGTCACTACTGAATTACTAGAAATATTAGCACATATCCAACCTGCCAGACCTCACACTACTGAGACACAGGGCAGTGTGTTTCATTATGTCCTGCTGTAGATTGCAGAGTCTTGTGTTGTATAATGACACAGTACAGACACTAAAGAACACAGTACACATAGATCAGCACTCCTCACAGTGTTAGCACTCACAGGAGAGTGTCAGTTCCAAGTATAACAGCCTATCACAGGATTTTGTTATAAATATAACAAGAAAGAGAAACCAGATACAGCAAGGAAGGAAGTGGGATTACCTGGAAAATGGCCCTTTACAACGTTTGCCTCTAACCCCTGTAACTTCTGAATGCCTTATGTGGCTAGAAGGACTTTGGAGGATTACTTGACTATCTACATGAATTCTTACAAGAGGCAAAGTCAGATAGAGAAAGAGGAGGAGACTGAAAAAGAGTGCGCGTACTTTTGCAAGCAAAAGGACAGAGAAATTTGAAAATGTTGCACTATTGGTTTTAAATATTGAGGAAGGCTCCTGTAAGCAAAGGAATTGAAGTGACCCCTGGAGAATAAAAATGCAAGAAAATAGGCTTCCTTCAGAAGGACCCTGATACAAACTGATTAGCCAAGTGTGTTTGAGTTTGAATATCCAGGTAAAGTAGTGAATAGCTTTTCTCATTTCTTCTTTTAAGCTTGGAAGTTTACGGTAATTTGTGAATGCAACAATAGAAAACGAAGTTTCATGTTTATGTGTTGATGTGGGGCTTTGACCAGAAGGTATACAAAAAGACTGTGTCACTTTATTAACAAGCTGAAAAATAAATGCCTTATAATATTAAAACGAAGTAGGAAAAGCAATGTGCAAAAGTCAGCATAAGGGCCAGCAAGATGAGGCAGTGTGTGAGGTCACTGATGACCAGCTCTATAAACTTGTGGTCCCCAGATTCCACATGGGAGAGAACCAACTTCTATAAGTTGTCTTCTAACCACAATTGCACTGGGACATTTGTGCTCATATCCCATGCAAAACAAATGGTTACCAAGCCACAAAAAAGCAGAAAGGAACTTCAGAAAACAAATTGAAGTAGTTCCTCCTTTTTATTAAGGGCATCTAAAAACAAAAAACAAAAATACCCTACCAACATTGTGCGAAACAATGAAGACAGTGCTTTCTCCTAAAGTCAGCAATAAGGCAAAGACTTCATTCAGCTATTAATACTCTTTTTAAAACTCTGCACAACAAGGCAGCAAAAGACAATGGAAGGAAATTTGATGCATCCAGATTAGAAGGAAAGAAATCTGTATCTAAAACAAGCAAACAGCAGTTAAAGAAAATGTTCATCAAGCTGCCAATATATAAGAGAATGCAACAAATCTCAGGTGTATGTCTGTGTATTAGTGATAAACATGTGGAAACCAAGATTATGACTGTAATTTATCCCCCTATGAATGACATACTTAGGTGTGAATTTGACAAAACAATTTCAGGACTTAAATATCAAAGCTGTAAAACACTCATGTGGCAAACCAAAGGATTAAATAAATGAGTCATACTAAAAATGTGAATGGGGATATTCAATATAATAAAATACAACAAAAATACTTCCAAGTTGATAGGTCTAACATGATTATTTTATGATTTATATGGCAAGGCAATGTAAAAATGAAGTTTTTAAATATCATGCTACATTTCAAGTTGCATTATCCTTACTAACAAGTGTGTAGTATTGGCAAAGGAATAAAGGCATAGGCCAGTGAAATAAAATAAAAGCCAGGAATATGCCCAACTAATTGTAAGCAAAGGCTCAACATTCCTATAGAGGCAAAATAGCCACTCCAATAAGAGGTAGGAAGCAATTGAACATCCTTATATTAAGAAAAAGTAAAATTTGACCTTAACCCCACACTTTGGAACACAGATGAAAAGGGAATAAAGCAAGTATTGACAAGTGTTAGCTGCTGGGGGAAGAGGCATCCATGTTCTCTCAGAGTGTAACCCTGGAAAGTCAACCACACTCCAGTGGAAAGATACACATCCAAGAATACTACAAGTGGACAGCTCAATTTGATCTTTATGGGCTTAATTTAAAATAACATCAACAAGACTGATAGGTAGGGAAGCGATGGATCTGGGAAAAATAGAATATGATCAAATTCAGATGAATTCTCAAATATATATATATATATATTATAAGACATTCTCATGTGCTACAATAAGTGTCTGTAACTGTATAACCATTACTCCGGTGATCTCTTCAGTCCCTTCTCATGTTATGAAACTGTCTCTCAATAAAACTGGAACTCGGTATTTCTGCTAGTTTCTGACCACCAGAATCTCTCTGTCCCCTCTGAGGTTACAGCTCTGCCTGGCTTCTTCTTCTTCTTCTTCTTCTTCTTCTTCTTCTTCTTCTTCTTCTTCTTCTTCTTCTTCTTCTTCTTCTTCTTCTTCTTTTTTTAATTAATTATTTATATTTCAATCCCAGTTCCCCCTCTCTCCTTTTTTCCCAGTCGCTCTACTCCCCCACTCCTCCCATCTGCTCCACAGAGAGGGTAAGGCCTCCCATAGGAAGTCTACTAAGTCTGTCCAGTTATCTAGTTGAGGCAGGACCAATCTGCCTGGACTTTATGTGAGTGGTCAAAATTTGAACTCAAGTGCTCACCCTTACACCAAAAGCAGTATACCCACTGACTGAAGCCTCTCTCCAACCCTAGCGTTAATGCTTTGTTGCTTAATTTAAAAGGCACTGTCTCAAGATGAGCCATACATTTAAACATAAGATGCAAAAGACAACAGGAAAGGAAATCTCTCAGAACTTAAGGTTTAGTGAGGACCTGCCTGCAAGACACACACTAAAAACATGCTGCAGGGTGGAAAAACTGGTCAATGTCATCAAAATTTAAAATGTTTGCTCGGGGAATAATAAGCTACAGATATATTCTCTCCATGTTCAAATCCTACCTGCCAACCACATAGCTGACAAAGGATTCGTTCTGAAAATAAAGAATTCTCAAGACATAAAATAATTCAACAGTGGAACAACCCTATGTGTATCTGTGAATTGAAGCCATTTGCCATAGACAAAGATGGTCATGTGTTTAGATTGCAGTACGAAGAGGGAGGAGGAAAACCCTGTCATCAGCACTGGCCCCTATACCCCTATTGAAAGTTCTGCTAGCATTCATTACTCCCCAAAATTACGTAGGATTCTGGCCAATAACACAAGTGATCCTTGGGTTTGGAGGTCCCAAAATGAAAATTACTGTGAGAAATTTATAACCACACTGAGAAAGCCGTTCTCGGTGCCCTCAAATAACTATAAAAACCAAACAGGAAGGATGAGTTTCTGGAACCCCTTAGAGAAAGCCCTTTACTGGCCTTAATGTCTGTGTTCAGAAGAGCCATGAAATTCACCATCAGAAGAGTTGCTATTTTCAATTCTATGTCCCTGTGCACAGAACTGCCTGTGGTAGTAACACAAAATTTAGGAGTGATTTAATATAATAAAAATGATTTCTTGTACAATGAAATTTTTCATCAAATACATGATTTTTTAAAACGCGTTGCAATAAATATTGATGTGCAAGTATCTCCGTGGTATATGTTGACTTGGAGACATTCAAGTAAAAACCCTGAAGTGGTATAGCTGGGTTAGATCATGAAGCTTTTTGGACATCGGTGTCTACTGCAGCACTATTCCTAGCAGCTAAAACTACAGAACTAACCTAGGTCTCCAGCAGGAGTGGAATGGTTAAAGAAAAAGTGATATATGTATAGATATACAAAATATATATATAATACCATATATGTGATATATGTTTATAAGTGTGATATATGTAATACACACACTCATATATATGCATATATATGTATTGTATTAATTATAAAATGGAATAAAGTTAATCCATATGCAGGAAAATGTGTGTAACTTATGATATTGCAATTAAACAAATTAAGCCAGCCTCAGAAGTATAGATGACATATACATTTCTCTTATTTATGGTTCTGAGATCTATATAGATAAAATTGTATGTGTATGTATGACATGAAAGCAGAAGTAAAACCATCTAGGGAAACAAAGAGAAAAGTCAAGCTACAATATACAGAGATTGTGTCTCAAAAAAAATGGAAAAGAAAAAAGTTACAAAAGGAATTTACACAGTTCTATCTAAAATGCCTTTTACTAGTCTCTCCACATGATACAATCTTATATAGCATATTGTCAAAATCCAGAAACCAAGTAATAAGAAGCCTGAGCAATAGGTCAAACAGTTTATAATTAATATAAGCCTCATTGTTATTATTTGGGACTAAGCAGCTACAGAACAGAAACTTCTGTCTAGAGTGCACTCATGGGGTTCCTGTTCCCCATTACTTCAGACCTTCTGGCTTTGTAGTACCACGTAGTCAGCACAACCTATGCAGCTGGGATATTGGTCACTATTACCCACAGTAAGCCATTGAGAAGATAGTTCCTATTCCCTTAACCTTACACAAAATATATTTTCTTAGCTTCAATGGGATGAATTCTTCCACCAGGAAACACAGCAACGATTTAACAAACTGTTGAATCAGTTACCTAGCCACTATGCATGATTCCAAATCAACAGACAAAGGATGCTATGGTTTTGGCTAAGGTGGTTGAGACTAACTAGCAAGAGGAAACTGAACTACTACTATTCCACAGCTGTAATTTGAGTATGAAATGGTGCACCATAGACTTAGCTGATTAATG